CCCCGCCTGCCATGTTTCACTTCCGGGGGATGAATCTTGTGTGTGTGTGTGTGTGTGTGTGTGTGTGTGTGTGAGAGAGAGAGAGAGAGAGAGAGAGAGAGAGAATCTTCAAATCGATGAATCTTGCCCTGGAAAATGGAGATATACACTACCTGGTTGAATATGGCCGACACCTGCAATCACGGTGCGAGGCCAAACAAACCCGCAGCGAATAAAGACCCCGCGCCGCGCCTACACCAAAAAAAAAAAAAAAACGGCCCGCAGGCAACCCGACTCGACCCCCCGGCCTCACCGAACCGGCACGCAGTCCGCCCTTGGGCCTGCCACGAGTCCCACACCAGGGAACCAGGTCTCGTGCGGGACCGTCACGCGAGACCCGCGTTTTCCTTTATATGTATAGAGAAGAAGTTGCTATCAAGTTAGTATTAATTTAATTAATAATAATTTGTGAAGCCACTGCTGGAATGATTCCTTGCGCCTGCTAGTTAGCGCTAGTGCTTGATGCGCACACGGGCGTGGGGTGCTGTTGGCCACTGTAAGGGACCAGCGCCATAGCCTGGGCCTCCATAGCTGGGCCTGGCGAGACATAGCTGGCGGGGATTTGCGGTGGTCCTAGGGGATGGCGATGAGACGTGGCAGGAGACACAAGGAGGGGCAGTAAGAGGTGAAGAGGGAAGTGGTGTGAGAGCACGTACCTGGTCCTGGCAGAGGTCTGCATGGCCGACATCTGCATGTGTACTTCGGTTGCTTCTGCTGACGTCAACTGGTTGCTTTGTCATTTCGTTAGACTAGCTCAGTAGCTGTATGATAGTAGTCTGGGTGCTGAGCGACAATTGGAGGAAGAGCTTCGAGTACATTGTTGGTGGTGGTGAGAGAGGGGAGAGGGATCTCATTGACAGTAGAATTCACTGCTTTGGTTCTCCTTCAGTGTCATTTCAGTGCATTTCTGCTTTCTGGACAACTTCGACTATCTGGCATTCAATGTGATTTTTTCGCAAACTGGAATTCTGTCATTTGACTCATTTCGCTATTTGCTCTTTTTCCTTGCATTTAAGATGATTAGAAAAGGGGAAAAAAAAGAGCAGCTGCTGGGAATCTGAAGAGGTATCCTTTCAGTCGATACGTCTTTCCTTTAGGTCACCAACAGGTGCTCCTTACTTAGTAATAGGCATCTCTGAAGAGATCATGTAATATCTCAACAGTAGCAAGTTAGCAATAGATCTATAGATTCGATACACAGAATTTTAGGGATCTATACCAAGTAATAGGCATTCAGAATTCTGAAATGGATTACACTAAACTTCGTAATATATCTGAAGGGATATGATGATTCTGTTCTTTCTCAAAATTTTTCATACATCCAAGGAAGCCGTTTTTTTAAACAAAATTTCGGCTATGTCAAAGAAATTTATTACATATTAATGATATTATGTATTGAACCCCATAATCGCACTTAAAAGCCAAGTACTCTACCAGAGAGTTAGCAACCCTCTCCAAATTAAATCATTTCAATTTCTTTTCTCCTTATTAAAGAAAACAACTTAGATTGTGTAAATCTCTTTTTGTGATTTTGAGAATCTAGCAAGCATCGAAAAAAAAATGTGTTATTCTCGACTTTTAGATGGTGGTTCCGTGTTGAAAATAAGGAGAAAAAAAAGAGATCTATATAAAGCATGGCTACGATCCGGACATCCGGACCACCGTCCAGACGGTCTGGATTCAGTCCGGACTGCATGCAAACCACTTTTGCCTCAGAGTCATGTCAGAATTCCTAACCAAACTTGAGTTACAAGTCAAAAACTATAAAAAAGCTTTAAAAAAGACTTTAAAAACTAATAAAAGGTAGTGAATTATTAATAATTAAAAAATTGGGGTTGTCTAATAAATTATTATAGAGAGAGTGCATGTCCGGACCCCCCCAAAAAGCATAAACGGGCCTGAAAAAACCCCAAAACAATTTTGGGGGCTTGGCTCCTCAACGGGGAAGGG